TGGTGGCTGCTCTGGTAACAGAACCCTTTGACATTTATTGTTTGCATTAGAAAAGGCAAGGCTTTAATTCAGTGAGGATGTGCTGTTTCCTTAGGACACTGCTTCTGAACTGCTTGTGCCAAGCGATCTAAAAAGGCAAGATAAGGTTTGGTTGTGGCTTGTTGAATCAGAGAATCAGCGTTTTCATGGGTTCTTGCAGTTGTACAGTTAAAAGAGTCCTTCTGGCTGCATTTTTAATATCTCTTATTCCTGCTCTAGAAGGGATTCGGCTTGGTCTTCAGCTTTATGGTTTGGAGGATCTCTAGCTAATTGACTGATTGTTAGCTGGGCTTTGGGCTTCTAGCAGAGCTCTCCACTGATCTGTGAGGATGCTTTCACTGTTCCAAGTCCCACAGAATATATTGTGAGTTTATTACAATTACAGATGAAATGTTACAGGAGTCTGAAGGTGTGAGGTGATAAGAATCATATCTACTTCTCATCACGTTATTGAATACTGGGAGTTTAAGCTGTTGTCTTTAAAAGCTTTTCCTAATTTCTGAATATCCTAATGTGCTATAGGCTCCCACCAAGGATTAGCATTATTTTCCTTATATCGAACTGGCACAGCAAGGATTTTTCTATATGATGAATTAAAATCTTTATCTTGCATGAGTTTAGGTCTAATGTCAGCCCAGTTGTGTTGTGGAGGGGACCTGCCTGCAGTGTGAACATGTGAATGACCTCCTTTCACTGGTGACTGAGCTTAGGGAGGAAGTTGAAAGGTTAAGGAGTATCCGGAAAGTGAAAGGGAAATAGACTGGTGGAGCTCAGCCCTTTCATCTTTAAGGGAGGCCTCTGACCGAGAGACTGAGGACTTCTATGCCTCCCGCTCTCAGGCAATGGAAGGGCACCCGGTAGATGAGGAGGAGTGGAAATGGGTCCCTATTCAGGGAGGTAATAACAAAAACTCCTCCCCATCCCCATCATCCAGCCAGGTACCACTTCAGAATAGCTATGAGGTCCTGGATCTAGAGACCCAACTAGATGATTTAGGAGAAAATTGTCTGCCCCGTGAACCCCCAGTTATGATTCATCTGTAAGATGGGTCACTACCTCTAACATCAAGAAGAAAGAAGGGTAATTGTAGTAGGTGATTCCCTTCTGAAGGGAACTGAGGGCCCCATATGTCGACCAGACCCATCCTACAGGGAGGTCTGTTGCCTCCCTGGGGCCCGGGTACAAAATATCACTGAGAGACTTCCTGGGCTGATTCAGCCCTCTGATTATTACCCACTGCTGATACTCCAGGCTGGCAGTGATGAGATTGAAAAGAGGAGTGTCAAGGCAATTAGAAAGGACTTCAGGGTACTGGGTCAGGTAGTTGATAGGGCAGGAGCACAGGTAGTGTTTTGCTCAGTCCCTTTGGTGGCGGAGGAAAATGAAGAAAGAAACAGGAAAATCCGCATCATCAACAAGTGGCTTAAGGGTTGATGTCATCGGCAAAATTTTGGGTTCTTTGATCATGGGGAAACTTTTACAGCATCTGCTCTGCTAGAACCAGATGGGGTAGATCTCTCTGTCAAGGGCAAAAGGTTTTTAGCTCATGAACTGGCAGAACTCATTGAGAGGGCTTTAAACTAGGTTTGAAGGGGGAAGGGGAAGCAGCCGAGCTATCTGGAAGCAGGCCCAAGGGTTGCAAGGCTGAGTCAGGGGTGAAGTCAGTAGCCCAGTTGAGGTGCATGTATACCAATGCACACAGCTTGGGCAACAAACAGGAAGAGCTGGAGGCCATGGTGCAGCTGCAGAGCTGTGATGTAGTTGCCATCACGGAAATATGGTGGGATGACTCCCGTAGCTGGAGTACTGCACTGGATGGATACAAGCTCCTCAGAAGAGACAGGAAAGGAAGAAGAGGAGGAGGGGTGGCCCTTTATATTAAGCAGACTCTCAATTGTAGTAAACCCCATAGATTTAGGAAAAGCACCATGGAGAATATGAACAATAGGAATGCTGAAACAGCAAAAGAAAATTCCTGTTTCCCTGTCCTCCGCCCTTAACCTATCTCTGTAACCCTATAAGGCAATGTCATGTTAACCCTTTACCCATTGGTCAAGCTTGGATCCTTTCCAACCCTATACAAGAAGCATACTGTACCCCATTAGTTGAGAAAGAAGAAGAGCGGAGACCCTTCACGGACCTCCCCAAACAAAGCCATCTCCGTGGAACAGCCTGCGCCTTCTCCTTCTCCTCTCTCTCCGTCTGCTGCAGCCTCCAGCCCAGGGCACCACTACCTAGCATGCAGAGCTGAAATCCTGAGAGCTTGCAATCGCTATAGAGCTGATAATCACCATGCTTGCTAGATGGTAGCCCTGCGGCCTTGGCATGAGCGAGCCAGCTTCGGGCACCCGGTCCCTACCCAGGGACTGAGCTCCTGAGCCCTAGTGCTCTGCTTTATGATAAGGCCAAATCAGAGAGGCTTTATTACTCAATGCCATAGAAATTGAAACTAAAGAAGGTGGAGTTGAATGTCCATGGGTAAGAATTAAGGGGAAGGCCAACAAGGCTGACACCCTACTGGGAGTCTGTTATCATCCACCCAACCAGGAAGAAGAGGTAGATGACTTATTCTATAAGCAGCTAGGCAATGTTTCAAGATCATCAGCCCTTGTTCTTGTGGGTGACTTCAACCGACCAGGCATCTGCTGGGAACTTAATACAGCAGTAAAGAGGCAGTCCAGGAAATTCTTAGAATGTATGGTGGACAACTTTCTGTTGCAGCTGGTGGGTGAACCCAGCAGGGGAGGGGCTATGTTAGATCTGCTGTTTGCAAATAGAGATGGGCTGGTGGGAGATGTGGCGGTTGGAGGTCGCTTGGGGCAGAGTGATCATGAAATAATAGAGTTCTCAATATTTGGTGAAGTCAGGAGGAGCACCAGCAAGACTCTTACCTTGAACTTCAGGAGGGCAGACTTTGGCCTGTTTAGGAGACTCATTCAGAGCGTCCCTTGGGAAACAGCCCTTAAAAACAAAGGAGTTCAGGAAAGGTGGGCATGCCTCAAAACAGAGATCATGAGGGCACAGGAACAGACTGTCCCTGTGTGCCGAAAGATCAGTCAATGGGGTAAACGTCCAGCCTGGCTGGGCAAGGAGGCTTTGGAGGTACTTAGGAATAAAAGGAGGATGTATCAGTGTTGGAAGGAGGGTCAGGTCTCTAAGGAAGTATTCAAGAAGGCTGCAGGAGCATGCAGAAAAAAAATTAGGGAGGCCAAAGCTCATTTTGAACTTAGAATGGCAACTTCTGTAAAGGATAATAAAAAATGTTTTTATAAATACCTTAATGCTAGAAGGAAGGGTAAGACCAGCCTTTGTTCTTTATTGGACAAGGGAGGGAAGTTAGCATCTGCAGATGAGGAGAAGGCAGAAGTGCTTAATGCCTACTTTGCCTCAGTTTTTAGTGGGAAGATGACTTGCCCTCAAGACACCTGCCCGCCTGGAATGGTTGGTGGTGTCAGGGAGCAGAATGGTCCCCCCATTATCCAAGAGGAGGCAGTCAAAGAACTACTGAAATGCTTGGATGTTCATAAATCTATGGGACTAGATGGGATCCACCCCAGGGTAATGAGAGAACTGGCAAATGAGCTTGCCAAGCCACTCTCCATCATTTACCAACAGTCCTGGCTCACTGCTGAGGTTCCGAATGACTGGAAGCTGGCCAATGTGATACCCATTCACAACAACAGTGCAAAGGAGGATCCTGGTGGAGCAGTGGCCGGTGGAAAGTAAAACGCCCAGGCTAGATAAATGTCCAGCCAACCTCCAGCCAGTCAGGCACTTCCCCAACCCGGAGTCAGGGCCTTGTGCCTAAGGCGATGTCAAGCCTTGCGGACGTGTGGCCGCAGTAGAGAGCTCCGAAGTCTCAGGATGAAATGAAGAGGCGACTCTCAGTTTCCTCGGGGGGGTGGTTTTCTTGGTAGGGAAACGGAGCTTTTCGGTGGAAGAAGCTGAGAGCCCCGAGGCAGGGAAAGCCTCGGTTTTACAGAGGGTGGGAGGGGTGAAAGATAGCAAATCAGAGAGGGATACATTAAGGATTGGCATGATCGGAGAACCCATCAAACACAGTTGCGGGAGGGACCCTGGCCCCTAGAAAAAGAGGCAGGGGTGTCGAGTGACAGGCAGGCTGCCAGGGGTGGGGAACAAGAAAGATACATTTGGTAACCAAGACAACTGGGGAGGGGTTTGGGGATTGACACAAACTGGTAACAGGGCAGGACCTTCTGAGAGAACAATGGGGGGAAAACTGAACAAGCATAAAACACACCACAACATCCTGGTAATTATAGACCAATCAGCCTGACCTCAGTACCTGGCAAGATAATGGAACAGTTTATATTAAGTGCCATCACACAGAATTGACAGGATGGCCAGGGTATCAGACCCAGTCAGCATGGGTTTAGGAGGGATAGGTCATGTTTGACCAACCTGGTCACCTTTTATGACCAGGTAACCTGCCTAGTGGTTGCAGGCAAGGCTGTAGATGTTGTTTATTTGGATTTCAGCAAGGCCTTTGGCACTGTCTCCCACAGCATACTCCTAGACAAGCTGGCAGCCCGTGGCTTGCACAGGAGCACTCTGTGCTGGGTTAGGAACTGGCTGGATGGCCGGGCCCAGAGAGTGGTGGTGAATGGTGCCGCATCCAGCTGGTGGCCAGTCACCAGTGATGTCCCTCAGGGCTCTGTGCTGGGGCCAGTTCTGTTTAATATTTTTATTGATGACATGGATGAGGGTTTAGAGTCTTTCATTAGCAAATTTGCAGATGACCCTAAGCTGGGAGCGTGTGTTGATCTGTTAGAGGGACGGAGGGCTTTGCAGAGGGACTTGGAACGGTTGGATGGATGGGCAGAATCCAATGGGATGAAATTCAATAAGTCCAAGTGCTGAGTCCTGCACTTCAGCCACAATAACCCCCTGCAACGTTATAGGCTGGGGATGGTGTGGCTGGACAGTGCTCAGGAGGAAAGGGACCTGGGCGTGCTGGTGACAATCGGCTGAACGTGAGCCAGCAGTGTGCCCTGGTGGCCAAGAAGGCCAATGGCTCCTGGCCTGGATCAGGAATAGTGTGGCCAGCAGGAGCAGGGAAGTCATTCTTCCCCTGTACTCGGCACTGGTGAGGCCACACCTTGAATATTGCGTCCGGTTCTGGGCCCCTCAGTTTAGGAGGGACGTTGAGAGGCTTGAGCGTGTCCAAAGGAGAGCAACGAGGCTGGTGAGGGGCTTGGAACACAAGCCGTATGAAGAACGACTGAGGGAGCTGGGGTTGTTCAGCCTGGAGAAAAGGAGACTCAGAGGTGACCTTATCACTCTCTTCAACTTCCTGAAGGGTGACTGGTGAGCTGGGGGTCGGTCTCTTTCTCTGGGCAACAACAGACAGAACAAGAGGACACAGTCTCAAGCTGTGCCAAGGGAGATACGGGCGAGAATTAAGGAGGAAGTTTTTCACAGAAAGAGTGGTCAAATACTGGAATCATCTACCCAGGGAGGTGGTGGAGTCACCATCCCTTGATGTGTTTAGAAAAAGACTGGATGTGGCACTTGGTACCATGATCTAGCTGAGGTGTTAGAACATGGGTTGGACTCGATGATCTTGAAGGTCTCTTCCAACCTAGAAATTCTGTGATTCTGTGATTCAATTAGTCAGCTCCCGTTGTGTGTTCACGGGGCTGGGATGGAACGGGTTAAACTCTTCCTCTGAACCAGGGTCCGTGCCCTGCTTCATTTCCCTGTGGAGGAGTTGTCAAATCCCGGGTTTTTCTCTCGTTCCTCTCTTTGGCGGCAGTCAGAGCTCGGGTTTTGCAGCGCTGGCAGAGCAGCCTCGCTCCTTTTGCTCGGCAGAGCTGCCCTCGCTCCCGGCCGGGCAGGGCTGGAGGATCCCGGGCGGGCTGGGGATGGCAGCGGGGGCTGCAGCCGGGAGAGCGGCGGGGCTGCGGGGCAGCGCCGGGGGCACCGCGGCTCCGCTCGGGCTTGCGGGGCCCCTGGGCGCGGCTGGAGGGAGGGAGGGCTCGGAGACACGGCTGGGGACGCGGCGGGCTTTGCACACGGCAATGGGCAACTGGAAAGATTCGCAATTTGTTTAAATAACTTAATTATTACCTCATTTGTATGGAGGGAATGCATGTGTACTTGAATGGTTTTGGTTTATGGTAAAAGTATTGTACAGTTTGAGTTTAACTGGGTCTCAGAGGGAGGGTGAACACACAAGTGGTATTTATAGCTGGAAACTGCTTTTGGAATTAAGATTGAACTTTTGAACGCAAATTTTTAGGTTTGGCTTTGAAATATTATAAGAATTAGATCTTTAAGGCTTTTATAAATGCCTTTGGGTTGCTTGGATATTTTGTGCTGGATTATGTTTTTTAAAGCTTGCTTGATGTTGTGTAATAGGAGACAAGATTGGCTTCTGTTCGAGTTGAGCTCATGATGCAGGTAGAAGTCTTGACTGTTTGGGTTTGTTTTTTTTTTTTCTTTTTGTAGAAGAATTAATTCTTTAGGGTCTTGTTTCTTTGTAGTAGCACTAAACAGAAATTTTGAGGATTTTTAACTGCTTGAAAGATAGTTGCGTTATTGGGTCTTTTATAATGAAACTACTGTTTTGTTGTTTTTTTAGTTTCTATAAAGATGGGGTAACTGAGAAGTGTTTTAAAAGATTTTGCTTAACTATCAGTCTCAATAAAGAATTAAGCATGAAAGTCAATGTTATTCTATTAAAAGCTAATTTGTTTCCTAATTCCTACACCTCACAAATGTTTGTCAAGCTATTAGCTTTTACCACACAATAGTATTACTTCTAACACTCATCACCTCTATTTGTACCTCACATAGTCCTATTAGAATGCATCTTTCATAGTTCTAATTCTCTAAAATATCTACTCTTTATAAAGCCATATTTTAAAACTTACTAAAACATATTTCTATCCCAATCTCTCTCAACAATATCAGCTCTATTCCATAGCTTTCCTAAGTCAACACACCTGATCTCAATATTTGCATACAGATGTACAAGTCTGTGTGAGCTTTGTAACAAAGTTTAGAAATTCTTTCCAAATCCATCCCTCCCAGCTCCGGAGCAGTGAAAGCTCGGAGCAGCACCCGAGGGGCAGCGGCAGCCGGGTCTGAGCAGGGCAGGGAGAGGCGAGCTCAGGGTCCCGGGCACCCGAGCAGGGGGGACAGGGCCCTCCGGATCGAGGGGTGACAGCGAGGTGCCCCTGCAGGGGCTGCTCTCACAGGCACAGGCTCACCCCACAACCCCATGGCAGGAGAAGCTGCTCTGGGCTGGGTTATGGCATTGACAGCAAATTCCCTTCCCCAAGCAGCAGCTCTGACCGTCCTCCTCCAAAGCTGAGAGAGAGAGAGAGAGAGAGAGCACCAGCAGCTGACTTACTCTTCTTCACAGTCATGTGCCTGATGCCAAAAGTGCAATTCCTCCTCAGGACGTGTCAGCTGTTCTAACTCTGCCAAGGACAGTCCACAAGTATCACCTTCAAGCCACTTTGTGAGAATTTCCAAGATCCCAGGAACATCTGGACTTCCCATTGGAGCTTGTTGTGTCATGAGGGCAATGCAGTCACTGCAGGCAGCACCAGTGGCAGGATGGATTGCAGAGACTTTTCCTTTGCAGCCCCAGCCCAGTGTTGGCACTGGGCATGAAGAGGCACTGAGGTGACCCTGAGAGGAAGGGCAAGGCACAGGGTGCAGCTGAGGAAGGACAGCGCTGTGCTGGGCTCAGAGGTGAAGCTGGCACTGCCCAGTGTGGAGAAGGTCCTTTCTGCAGCCCCTGTTACAGGGGAGCTGGGGCCTTGCTGCAGAGATACGGCCGCTCATTGGAGCAGTTGTCACTCCTCAATCTCTTCTCAACCAGGTACACACACTGGGAATTGCCGAGGACAGGAACCCTGCGGGGAGGAGCAGAGGCAGCGCTGGCTGCCAGGGGCAGCCCTTGTGCCCCTGTGCCCCCAGGCCCTGCCCGGCTCCCCGGCACTCACCGGGAGCTGTAGCTGCTGCCGTCCCCCCAGTGCAGGCGCTCGCCCCATCTGTGCTGCCCGAGCCAGTAATCGACGTTCCCGCAGAGGCGGGAGAGCAAATCCTGCCCAGGAGAGAGGAGTGGGAGCTGCCCCGGCCCCTCAGGGGGACACGGGCCCGGGGCTCCCCCCGCACCCCAGGGCTCCTTCCCTGCAAGGCCCCGGCCCAGGGCTGCAGCCCCGGCCCTACGAGCACCGAGCCCGGCCCAGGAGCACCCCCAGGCTGCCCTCAGCCACCCCACACCGCCCGCAGCCCCTCACTCACCATGGCCTCCTCATCCTTGGCAATGGCCAGGGATGCCCCGAGCTCGGAGCACCGTTCCTGACCCTGCTCCCAGGTGCTGTAATCCCGTGAGAAGTAGTAGCAGACCCCCTTGTAGCCAACCCAGTCATGGGGACAGCCCAGAACACACTGTGAGGTGGCAGCTGTGACTGGAACCTGTGGTGCTGCAGGGGGAAGAGGAGAAGGTCTGAGGATTGCCCTGTGCAGGGAGCAGGGAGCCCGCTCTGCCCCGAGGGGCTGGGCCCCGGCTGCTGCCCCTCCCTTACCTGCCAGCACAGCCAAGGCCACCCCCAAAGCCAGCACCAGCACCAGGAGCAGCAGAATCAGCACCGCCGTGCTCACGGGATGGCCCCTGAACCATTCCCCTGGAGCAGGAAAGAGCTGCTGGCTGCCAGAAGCAGAGCCGGGCCTGCAATCTGCTCAGCCCATGGCCAGGGAGCAGAGCAGGGAGCCCTGAGCCAGTGTGGGCCTCACTCAGCTGGCAGCCAGAGAGCCGAGAGCCTGGCCACAGGCAGGGACACAGCTGTGGCCACAGGCAGGGACACAGCTGTGGGCACAGGCTGCAGCAGGAGAACTGCACAGCCTTGGGGGCAGCTGGGGCTCTTGCTTCCAGCCACTGATGGGGCCCAGCAGAGCACCAGGCCTCTGCCAGACATCGGGAAACAGCCACACACCTGCCAGCCCTGCCCTTGGGAGGGGACACTGTCCCCAACCTAGAGACCACAGGGGTGGCCCTGCACTCACCCAGGAATCTTCTGTGTCTTTTCCCTGTTGCTGATCGGTCCTGCAGGGGCTCGTTTGCAGGAATGGAGCAGAGTTCACTCTCCTCCTGCTCACAGCCGGCATCTCTCTGCCCAGAACAAACAGCACCTTGCTCTCCTGACATCAGGAGTGCTGCTGGCAGATCCTTTGGGAGCTCGGCCTCGGGAACAGCTTCGCAGCCACGCTGCTGGCACCCTGAAAGGGACACGGGGAGAGGTCACTGCTGGTGCCGGCCCTGGGGGCTCAGGAGGGCGGTGGCAGCTGTGGCTGCGCTGTCCCCGCTGCCCAGAGGTGCGGCAGCAGCTGCGGAGACAAGCGCAGTCCCCAGCGGGTGGGAGCCGCGGGTCCCACCTGGTCTGGAGCCCCCTCTGAGCTCCGGGCGCCGCCGCCGCTCCGCTCCCGGCCAAACCCACCGGGCACGGCCGGTGCCGCCGTAGGTTGGAGCCGAAGTGGGTGTGGCAGGGATTCAGGCTGCTTTGACCAAACAGCGCGCAGGGAAGCTGCCAATGGCAATGCGCGAGGAAGCGAGGAAAGGGTTTAGGGTTTCACTCCCCACAATCGCGTTGTCAGGGAGTCAAGAGCAGTCGGAAAAAGGAAAACGTCTTACTTGCCTAGTCATGCTGCCAAGGCTCAAGAGTCACAGCTGCTAAGCGAGCTTTCCCGGAGAGGGACTTAGCTAGATTTGTTGTTTATGAATAGGGATGGGCTGGTGGGAGATGTGCTGCTTGGAGGCCTCCTGGGGCACGGTGATGATGAAATTACAGTGTTCTCTATATTTGGTGATATCAGGAGGAACGTCAACAAGACTTTTACACTGGACTTCAGGAGGGCAGACTTTGGCCTTTTTAGGAGACTAATTCAGAGTTCCTTGGGAAGCAGCCCTTAGAAACAAAGGAGTTCAGGAAGAGTGGGCATGCTTCAAAACAGAGATCTTGAGGGCACAGGAACAGACTGTCCCTGTGTGCTCAAAGAGGAGTTGACGAGGAAAATGTCCAGCCTGGAAGGGCAATGAGGTTTTGGAAGAACTTAGAAATAAAAGGAGGATGTATCAGCTTTGGAAGGAGGGTCAGGTTTCTCAGGAACTATTTCAGGGGGCTGCTAGGGTACACAGGGAAAAAATTAGGGAGGCCAAAGCTCAGTTTGAACTTAATTTGGCAACTTTTGTAAAGGATTACAAATATATTAATAGTAATAGGAAGGGAAGGACCAGCTTTTGTTCTCTTTTGGATGCAGGAGGGAACTTAGCACCTCTGCCTTCTCCTCATCTGTATTTACTCAATGCCTTCTTTGCCTCAGCCCTTAGTGGACACACAGCTTGTCCTCAGGACGAGTGAACTCCTGGGCTGGTGGATGGTGTCAGGGAGCAGAATGGGCCCCCTGTGATCCAGGAGGAGGCAGTCAGAGAACTGCTGAGCTGCTTGGATGCTCATAAATCTGTGGGCCCAGAGGGGATCCACCCCAGGGGGATGAGGGAGCTGAGAGATGAGCTTGGGAAGCTGCTCTCCATCATTTACCAACAGATCTCTCACCCTTCATGGGCATAAGAAGGCCGGAGCGGAGACATTATTTTAATTGAATTTATTATTGTTAAAAACGCCAATTGCTTGTTTTTAAAATTTTTAAAAGTTTAATAGTAATAAAATGGTTATAAAAATAGTAATACAATTAGAGTAATAATAATTTGGACAAACTGAATTAGGACAATATGAGACAATAAAGACCAAGAGTTACGGATGTCCGGGTAGCTTTTTCTGGGCAGCACGAGCCTGAAAAAGGACACCCATTAACAGAGGATTAACCTTAAAAACATTAGCCCGTTGCATATTCATACACTTCACACATGATGCATAAATTCCATTCAAACACAGGATTCTGTCTGGTCATCGTCAACTTCTTCCTCCAAATCCTAACAGCGCCTTCGAGGCTGGAAGAAGTTCGTTTCTTCTGATAAAAGGAAGATATGATAAGAGGGCCATAAATTCTTCTTCTCTGAAAGATTTAGGTGTCCTGTGGCTGTTATCTCACTGTGTGTCCTTTCTTTTTAAAAAGAGTATCCTACATAGCATCGTTTCTATTTTAACAATTTTTATAACCTAAAACTATATTTAACACAGTACTTAAGAGAATTAATACAGCACTACTTTCTAACACAACACATATAATATTCATTTTAATATTTGCGAAAAGCCAATCATAAAATACATGCACTTTTCACTATTATCAAACAAATCAGAGCAAGAGAATGGAAAGGACACGAAATCCTAAAATTGCACCTTCCCCACAGTGCTTCCTCTTTCCTGGGCTTCACTTTATCCCCAATTCCCTCCCTCCTCCCCACACAGTGGCACAGAGCGATGGGGGTGTTTTGGTTTGAAGGACAGGTGTCTGCTAAGGAAGGCAGGAGCCTCCCTGGCAATGGGAAATGCAATCCCCCTGCCTCTGCATTATTATAATTCAGAAGCTGAGGGTCTCTCGGGCCCAGACACGAGAACAGTGCCGCAGTTCTTTCCCGCTGTGTCCCCAGCGCACACGGGCCCAGCGCGGCGCTGCCCCGAGCAGGCCCAGCCCCAGCCCCGCCCCTGCCGGCCGCGCGCGCTTTCCCCTCGCTGCAGCTGCGGGCGCGGCCGGCAGGGGCGGGTGCGGTGCCTCCCCCGCGGCTGCAGGGGGCGCTGTGGCGCGGGCTCGGTGCCCGTGCGGCGGTGGCGGCTCGGCCCGGGCCGGGCATGGAGGAGCGGCCTCGCTGCCAAGGCCGCGGCAGCCGGGCCCGGGGCCCTGCGGGGCTCTGGGAGCAGCGAGCGGGGCCACAGCGATGGCTCGGCACGCGGGGCAGGGGCTACACCTCGGGGGTTTTATTTTTGTATTGACCGGGTAACGCAGAGGTGTTTTAAAAAGATTTGATTTTATCGTCAGTCTCGATGAAGAGTGAGCTAAAAGATGGAAGAGTCAATGTTATTCTAGTAAAAGCTAACTTATTTCATGTTTACAATACCTTATAAATGTTTTTCAGCCTCTTACCTTGTGATAAATAATATGATTCATGCTAACAGCTGCAACCGTATCGATATTTTAGAAAATGTTTGTTAAAAAGCAGCAGAGGAAAAGGATGTGCAATTAGGGTCAGGAAACAGATGTTCTCCGATCTTCATGAGAACCTAGGTACAAGATGGAGTATTGAGATAAACAATATCCTAAAACAGAATCGGTCTTGGGATGAGCAAAGTTGGGACGATTCCAAATATGCAATCTGCAATAGTAGTCCTATCTATGAAATAATAAGGCTTAGTTGGAACATAATGCTTACTTATATAACACAAAGGGTAATGCACATGCCCAACCTGCCAGGATATTCAGAGGGCAGCGAGGAAGACAGTGAGCCTTCCTCTGAAGAGACCCCCAAAAGGCCAAAAGACCCCTTAGCAACAGGCGGAGCATGGACTGTGCAGTGCAGTGACAGAGATTGCAGGAATCAAAAACGGGAGGGGATTTACAGGAAAATATTGATGAATATGTATTAGCATACAGTATATAAGTTGTGTTTGGATCCTTTTGTCCTTTGTACGTGAGGCAGGATGAGAAAAACCCTCCCTGTACCCCGACTGATTTTGCTTATACTTTATCCAAACCACTGCCAAACCATTTTTTTTTTTTTTGCATCTGCTTGATTCTTAATTGTATGATTTTATATAAAATTGCTGCTCAATTAAAATTGGTGCTAAATTCTAATTTTGTGGTTTATTAAATTAGACATGTAGGGACCTCATTCATAACAATTTGGTGCCAAAACTCAGGAACTCCAGCCCTGGGAAGGACGGCTAGCCTTGGGAAGGGGCTCCACACCAGTTTTTAGGTGGTCCCGAGGTCAGACCAGAGTCACTTGGAGAAGGAGTTCCGATTTTGATAAAGCATAAGCAAAAGAAGCTCGTGGTAGGAAGCATGCAAAGGGGCTGCCTTAAGAGTGCCAGCTAAAGGTGAGAGCACCCATAAAACTTGGGTGTGCACAAAAATCCTCGTGAGAAAAGGAGTCTGTGAGTATCCCGAGGTGGGGTGAAGGCAGGTGTGTGCTTGCATTTGTGTTTGTGTGTATGTGTAGGGTGCTTTTGATGTGACCTCACACTCCAAGGGCTGTGGTAGTCGCAGTCCTGCAAGGGGCTCGGCCGGCTAAGGAGAGGTGTTTGTGTGTTTGTGGGAGAGTTTGAGATGTGACCTCATCACAGAGAGGGTGAGCACCTCTGTGTGTGTGTTTGTGTGAGAGTTTGAGATGTGACCTCGTCACAGAGAGAGTGGGCACCTCTGTTTGTGTGTTTGTGTGAGTGTTTGAGATGTGACCTCGTCACAGAGAGGGTGAGCACCTCTGTGTGTGTGTTTGTGTGAGTGTTTGAGATGTGACCTCATCACAGAGCGAGTGGGCACCTCTGTTTGTGTGTTTGTGTGAGAGTTTGAGATGTGACCTCGTCACAGAGAGAGTGGGCACCTCTGTGTGTGTTTGTGTGAGAGTTTGAGACTGACCTAGTCACAGAGAGAGTGGGCACCTCTGTTTGTGTGTTTGTGTGAGAGTTTGAGATGTGACCTCGTCACAGAGAGAGTGGGCACCTCTGTGTGTGTTTGTGTGAGTGTTTGAGATGTGACCTGGTCACAGAGCAAGCGTGGACCTGCATTTCTGTGTTTGTGTGAGTGTTTGAGATGTGACCTCGTCACAGAGTGCGTGGGCACCTCTGTGTGTGTGTGTGAGTGTTTGAGACTGACCTAGTCACAGAGCAAGCGTTGACCTGCATTTCTATGTTTGCGTGTTTGAGATGTGACCTCGTCACAGAGCATGTGGGGCCGCCGAGGGTGGCGGTTCTCCCCTCCTGGCTAAGGAAGGAAGCGACTGTTTTGTTCTGTTAAGGGTTTTGACCAGGCTCTGTAATTCCTGTGAGGGGGTGGGTGAGTGGATGAGCTGATCCAGCTGTGCCATGCATGTCTAAAGGGTGTGGTTTAATTTTAGCAAAAGTAATAAAAAAAGGGCTTAGTAAGTGAGAAAGGAGGATTGTGGAGGCTGAAGCCAGAAAGAGCGAGAGGCAGGAGCTTATCGGGGTGAGTGGAATCAGGCAGGAGCAAGTGGCTGACAAGAGATGAGCAAGTATTAGAGGGGATTAAACCATGAGAGAGAAGAGTGAGTGAGGATTTCCCAGGTACCTGGAACTCCTGGTTATTTACTGTTATAAGTTGCGGTGAGTAACCAACCACCACCAAGTGAGTCCAAATAAAATGTGATTTATTAATTGATAGAGCAAGCGATAATAGGCAAATTACAGCACTGAGTGAAGCCAACAAAAGGCTTGCACCCACCCGGGAGCGCTGGGTGTAGCCGGGGAGTCACCGCTCCACCATCGGCCCACACCCCTTGGCAGTTCAGTCCTCCTTTTTTATCTGTTGTTGTTGGGTGTCCTTCCAGTGTTCTCTGTGTCTGTGCCGAGAGTTGCTAGGGGGTCTTATTCTGCCTTCTGGTGATCGTCTGGATGAAGGCTCCCATCCTCTTCCTCAAGGTCTTACAATAGCCTTTACCATATATAGGCGCATAGCTACATATAGTTACACATTGCTTAGTTAGCCTTTCAACATATTATCTTCTGACATTTAGCGGTTTAAGCCTTATGACATTTATTTTGCAATATATTAGCCCGTTATTTTCATCTTGCAACATATTAGTTGGTTACATCTACCTTGCAGTTTTTTCTATTGTTGGCTTTTCCCCTTCTTATAGTCTTTTTAGCAACTTGATGAACAAACTAAGACATTAACTCATTACATTTACCTGCCAGAAACTAGGGCAAGAGAGGTGGCATCTTGTACCTAGGAGTGAGTGCTCAGGAGGGAGGCTCGCAGGGTTAGTCAGAAACAAGGGGATTCCTGAACAGGGTGGGGAGCAATTCTCCAGGACAGTCCCCTGGGCATGGTAGTGAACTTTTAACTGTTGCAACGTTTTTAAGAGGTTTGCATTAGCTTTTAGAAATGAACCCAATACTAGATCTTGGGGAGACATGATGGACATATTAGATGACTTGGAAAATTTAGAGCAAGAGCTACAAAAAGTTGTAGTAGATGACTTGGAAAATTTAGAGCAAGAGCTACAAAAAGTTGTAGTAGATGACTTGGAAAATTTAGAGCAAGAGCTACAAAAATTTGTAGAAAAAGTGCAGAAACTGTTCATGTGTAAAGATTGTACGTGTATGAGGGTCAAGCATAGAGGAAGGGAAAGGAGAAGAGAGAGAGAAGTTTTTAGAACAACGAGAAAAACGCAGAAGGCTACTAACACCAAAGGATCCACAAAAGCATTGAGACATCAGGGTAATCTCAATTCTACCCCTAATGACTCGAGACCCACCTGTTTCTGTTGCCATGAGAAGGGACACCTGCAAAAATTTTGCAGGAAAAGGAAGCAGGATGAAAAGAGGTTTCAGGAGGAGTAGGGGTGTCAGGGGCTGTATTTAATGAGGACTGAAGCACCAAAAGAGCCCTTGATAAAATTAAGACTTGGTCCTCACAATAAGGAAATA